CAACTTCTCCAAAGCATCATTCTTCAGTACAATGGGTGGAGACCGTCCCGTGTTACGAGGTCTCATACAAACTCCCCACGCTCCTCACCGTCACAATTTAGATATTCATATTACCAAAGTTAGGACGATGTATCAAGACCCGAATTGCACCTCATCATTGTAAGAGTCTGGTTTAAACAAGGTAAAGCTTAGTCTAATCTTTTTTAAGTTTAACGCAGCTAAATCTGGTCTTAAGGAAAAGCTTACTCTAGCCAAGTTTCCATCCACAACGACGAATTAGTTTCATTATACCAACCAAAGTTTCATCTAAACATGACCCAAGTTTTACCCCAACATGACCCAAGTTTTCACCCGACCACAACCGAAGATTCACCTTACAAACATGAAGGTATATAAACGAACATATCGATACATAACTCACACACACAAATATACATACACACAAAGACACCGAGACAAAAACATACAAGACGTACAGACAGACAGGACACACCCCCCCCCTCCTCTACATCACTCAAGAATAACATAATGACTAAGTTCATAATAAACACAGGTATGTTCCGCCTACCTGGTCACACTACCTGGTAAGACCCCGGAAGTCACCTGTTATTTACGGTGATTATAATTAAATGTTTACTAGTGTGGTGAATTAATGTCTGCAGTGGTAAAGTGGTTGGTGGTTTTATCTTATCAAGGGAGTGTTGTGTAATTATAACACACACAAACATATGCTAATGCACATACATACATAATAAGTATATAATGGTTGTCCCTCGTGTAACGAGGATGGCCAGCCCAAGGGCCACCTAGACGTGAATTTGTTTAAGGTGTAGAAGCTGTCGCCAACACAACAATCACACCCTAAGTTAACGAGCTGCATTACCCAGTGTCAAGGAATAGTCCGAGAAGACCGGACAACTCACCAACTCCACTGGCTAACCATTACCCCGGAATACGATCCAAAAATTGATTAACATCCAGGTTCCCAATTACTGCTGGGTAGACAGAGGCAAATGGAGTAATGAAACTTGCCCATAGTTTAACCCTGCCCGGGTCGAACCCGGGTCCGCTCGTTTGTGAAACGAGCATGCTGACCATTACACCACAGGTCACCATACATACATACATACATACATACATACATACATACACATTACAACACACAATACTATAATAACATAAAAATGCACACAAACTAATGCTCGCGCGCACACAGTTTCATGTGCACAACCATTGCTTATCACTTCATCTTTCATTCCAATTTTTCCCTCTCTCTCTTTATCTCCTCTGTTCTCTTCCCCTCTCTCTCCTGTTCTCCTTCCCTCGCCCCTTTTCTGATTCCCCTCTCTTTATTCCCTTTTGCCTCCTCTTTTTCTTTCCCCTTTTCTTCCTCTCTATTCCCCTGTTTTAGTCTTCTTCCTTTCTATCTCCTTCCCCCCTCTTTATTTCATGTTCTCTCAGGTCCCTCTCTTTATTTCACTCATCCATTCTCTCTCTTTCTCATTCACTGTTTATCCCTCCCTTTTCTCTTTCTCCCCCTGTTTCTACCCTCGTTTCTCTCCTCATTTACTCAACACACACATCGCATAATAATCGACCCAATCATCCAAGATCACAAACAAACAAACAAACAAACAAACAATCAAACAAACAAACAAACTCAATGCATTTTAATATATTTCAAAAGAAGATGAACGAATACACGAGAGAGAGAGAGAGAACACCGCCTGTTCTTCTTTGTTCTTCTCCCCTTCCCTCGTGTTCAATTACCTTCACTGCAACAGCTGAACGTGTCATTGGTTCACGCCCTACCCCCCCTTGTTCTCATTGTTCCCGTGGAGGGGGAGGGGGTGAATGCACACACACACACACACACACACACACACACACACACACACACACACACACACACACACACCTCTCTCTTCCTCAAGTCAATGTTAATTCCAGGTGTGTTTTTTTATAATCAGGTATTTCAATTTATAAGGTTTCCAAATTTACTTCGGATTCCGGCATGTATAGTCTCTCTCTCTCTCTCTCTCTCTCTCTCTCTCTCTCATTGGTAAGTAGGTTGTTGTATGTGGGTGGACACCAAGGGTTTATCCTGACCCGGGGGAGTGTTAAAACGGTCTAGGCCAGAATATACCCCGGGGTATATCCTGCCGGAGGCGTAATAGGCCTGCTACACCGGTCAAAATATCATGATATAACACCTGACATGATAGCGTCTAGACAGGAGAACAAGGACCTGACGAAGTTTTATTTTAACTTATGTCAATGTTAAATTTTCATCAATGGATACGATAAAAATAAATTAACCTGTTATTTTTAATTATAATTCACAGCATGATATAAGCTATTAATAACAGTGTCATCAATAATAACCTATAACATGATATAATCTGTTACTAACGAGAGATATCATACTAAATAATATCTATGGTGACGTGATGTGAATCTTTGTGACCATATAACCTATTATGACTCGTTGTAACACATGTTTTGACCATCAATAACACGCCTTGACCTCGGTGTGACCTGAGGTGACGTCCATTATGCTGACCACGACTAACTGTTTATATTCCTGACCTCTTCTGACAAGTAATATTTCGCCCACCACAAAAAAAGAATATAAAAAATATTGGTTTTCATGTTCGGTGTTTGACGAGGAAGGCGGAGACGTGGGTTGGGTTGGGTCGGGTTCATAGGTGTAAGGGGGTTCGGGGTCGGGTTCATAGGTATGGGGGTCGGGTTCATAGGTGTGGGGTTCGGGTTCATATGTGTGGGGTTCATGGGTGAAGGGTTCGGGGTCGGATTCATGGGTGGGTGACGTAATGTTGATATTAAATTCTGTATTCTCAGAGGTTCAAACATAAACGCCCTCCCCACCCTCCCTCTCTCATGCCTGGAGATTTGCAGAAGGATCTTAATTATTTCGTTTAGATTATTCCACAAAGTTGGTAGTTAATATGGCGATAAAATTGTAACCAAAACTGTAGAAGGGTAAAACACACACACTGCAATACCCTACCTTTACTGCCCTTCCTCCCACACTGAACCACCGAGATGAAATTATATGATGAGGAAAATATGGCGACGCTTGTAAACAAAACAAGTCCAATGGGCTCCAGTCCCGCTGAAAATAATGGAGTCGAAAACAGAACGAGGTGGAATGTTCATGGTGGCAGGAGGGGGAGGAGGAATGGGTGGTGGTGGCCGGTGAACTGGGTGGGTGGGCTGGGGGTGACAGGGGTAACTTGGTCAGGATGTAATTTGTTTGTTGGTGGGCTGGTCGTGTGTGGGATGAAACAATAGCCCCATGTTTTGGATTTTTCCACCACGCGGAGTGAGTGAGTGACAGTATACAATATATTTTTTGGGGGTTAAAGGGGGGGGGGGAGGGGGCAGGAGGGGTGGAGGTGGAAGGAGCGTAGGAAGGAGGCGAGGGGGGGGGAGGAATCAGGAAGGTGAATGACTCTCTGGATGGTAACCTACCTAGGGCTCTAAAAAAAAACAAAAAAACACTGCTCATTAACTAAACTAGCCGGAAACGCGGTATTAAATCGAAGGAAATTCTATTTGTATACCGAATCGCTCTGAAATGTCGGTCAAAATACAAATAAAAAAAAAATCGGGTGGAAAAATTAATCTGTGACAAAGAACGCTCATGATTTTTGTCCCGGTTTTGTTAATGCATAATTGGATTGGATTTCCGTGTGGTTGATTTGTCCCGTACTGTTGACCACGTGTTGGCGGCCCACTTGTACTGCTGGCTCACCCGCTCGTGGTGTTTCTTCATGACTCGTATAGTAATTGTGGTATCGTGATAACATGTGATAATACCAGATAACACGAAATAACACCAGATAACACGATATAACATTAAATAACACCAGATACCACATAACAACATCAGATAACACGAAAACACACACTAGGGCAGGCTATCTTTAACCCCCACCAAGGACAGACCGTGCTTACCTCACCCACTTCTGGATAGCTTACGTTTATTTTTTCATCACTATATACCACACACACACACAAACATCCGCCCGCCCACACCAACACACCCACCAACACCCACCCGCACACACCAATACCCACCCACACACACCAACACACCCACCAACACCCACCCGCACACACCAATACCCACCCATCTACACACACACACCAACATCACTCATTAGCCAAATCCACCTCATAAGACCTACGCCACCCAGCAGTAAGGGAGCTCACCTCATCCTGTAGCCGCGTCAGGAGTTATGAGGTATAAGATAAAGCGCGTCATGAGGAATGAGGTCAAGTTATCGTGGGTTCTCTCCTGACTTACGACCTCCCATCTATCTCACGTTACGAGTTTCTCTCATATTTATTGGGTGGCCAGCTGGTGTATGGGTGGCCAGCTGGTGTATGGGTGGCCAGCTGGTGTATGGGTGGCCAGCTGGTGTTTAGTGGCCAGCTGGTGTTTAGTGGCCAGCTGGTGTACGGTGGCCTGCTGGTGTTTAGTGGCCAGCTGGTGTACGGTGGCCAGCTGGTGTTTAGTGGCCAGCTGGTGTACGGTGGCCAGCTGGTGTTTAGTGGTCAGCTGGTGTATACTGCATGGCAACAAACTAGAGTATATCAACTAACAAGTATATAGTAACTAACGAACATATGCCAACCAAGTGTAGAGCAATTAACCAGTGTATAGCGAGTATACGACAAGTGGCCAGCGTAAGAGGTGAATACTTGCCTAACTTCTTGAGACAGTTGTAAGATCTATGGCTACACAAAGTTATATATTTTTGTGAGGGGTGAGGCTGAGGGGTGAGGGTGAGGGATAAGGTTGAGGGTGTGAGGGGATTAGGGATGTGAGGAGTGAGGTGTGTAGTGTAAGGTGTGTAGGGATAAGGTGTGAAGTATGAGGAATGAGGTAAGGAGCGAAAAAGTACTGAGGGAGTTGATAGAGGACGGACGGACGCACGCACGCACACTTCAGAACCCATGAATGAAATATATCAGGAAGTTGTCGATATTACACAAGGAGAATTATTTATACATGTCCATCCCATTTGTGTATTTTTGTCGGCGTGGTCGATGTATTCGTCCGGGTCATCACTGTTTTCGTTCGTGTCATCACCGTTTTCGTCCACATCATCACTGTTTTCGTCCACATCGTCACTGTTTTCGTCCACATCGTCACTGTTTTCGTCCACATCGTCACTGTTTTCGTCCACATCATCACTGTTTTCGTCCGCGTCATCACTGTTTTCGTCCGGGTCATCACTGTTTTCGTTCGTGTCATCACCGTTTTCGTCCACATCATCACTGTTTTCGTCCACATCGTCACTGTTTTCGTCCACATCGTCACTGTTTTCGTCCACATCATCACTGTTTTCGTCCGCGTCATCTGTTTTCGTCCGCGTCATCACTGTTTTCGTCCGCGTCATCATTGTTCGTCCGGGTCATCACTGTTTTCGTTCGTGTCATCACCGTTTTCGTCCACATCATCACTGTTTTCGTCCACATCGTCACTGTTTTCGTCCACATCGTCACTGTTTTCGTCCACATCGTCACTGTTTTCGTCCACATCATCACTGTTTTCGTCCGCGTCATCACTGTTTTCGTCCGGGTCATCACTGTTTTCGTTCGTGTCATCACCGTTTTCGTCCACATCATCACTGTTTTCGTCCACATCGTCACTGTTTTCGTCCACATCGTCACTGTTTTCGTCCACATCATCACTGTTTTCGTCCGCGTCATCACTGTTTTCGTCCGTGTCATCAATGTTTTTGTCCGTATCATCAATGTTTTTGCACTTCAGACTTACTGGCTGCATGGGTTAAATGTATTTATGTATGTATGTATGTATGTATGTATGTATGTATTTCTATATCGTCTGTCATCAACAATATTTTTTTTAAATCCACATCGTAGATTGAATCTCCGAAGGGGGTGGGGGAGTGAACCCGGATATGTCATACTGTGTTTTTAAAGCTTTTTGGAAAACATTTCGAATTCTGTGTGTGTGTGTGTGTGTGTGTGTGTGTGTGTGTGTGTGTGTGTGTGTGTGTGTGTGTGTGTGTGTGTGTGTGTGTGGGTGTGTGTTGTGTGGGTGTGTTGTGTGGTGTGTGTGTGTGTGGGTGTGTGTGTACTGTGTGGGTGTGTGTGTATTGTGAGGGTGTGTGTGTGTTGTGTGTTGTGTGTGTGGGTGTGTGTGTTGTGTGGGTGTGTGGATGTGTTGTGTGTGTGTGTGGGTGTGTGAATGTGTGGGTGTGTGATTAAGACGGTGTTTTATTTCATGATGGGGGAAGGATTGGGGGAGGGGGGTGAGAGGAGGGGGGAGGTAGAAGTGGTGGGGTGTAGGGAAGAGGTGGAAGGGGTAGGAAAGGGGAAGGAGAAGGAGGGGGGGTATGGAAGAGGGTTGGGAGGAGGGTTTAAGTAGGTCAATTGGAAGGGGATGGAGAGATGGAAGGGGGGCGGGAAAGGTGAGGACTAGTCTTTAATTAGCATTGGCTGTAGGTATTTTTTAATTAATTTTATTTTATTGTAATCTTTTGAAGCTTTTTATTCCCTTTCTCTATTATTACTTTTTTCGTGAGGGAATTAAATACAATATATAAGTGACCTGGATATAGATAGCTGCTTGTATGTGACCTGGATATGACGGCAAGGGTGTGTACGGGATATACCTGCGGGGACGGACGGACGGACGAGCACAACACAGAACAAACGACCTATATTTCTCTAACAACCTTCTACAGATCTACTACATTAAGAACTTTGTTATCTTGGGATTTTCCGCCCAAGAAAATAGGGGAGGGATACCGAGGTGATCTTTCCCAACCAACTTCCAGCAATAGTTTAAGAATTGTATCGGGAGGAAGGGAGGGGGTCCATCTCTCACAACTCTTGAAGAAACGTCTAGGGGAAAATTCACTTTCAGACCGGGACAAAAAAGAGGGTCCCACCATCCCTAAAACCTCGGAACGTATTTTTTATTTTTTTTTATCTATATCTGACGTGAAAGCTGTTGTTGACAAATCAGTTTGGCTTTGGACCAAATTTGTTTTTCTGTCGTATAATGGCGAGGAAAAAAAACCACCACCCATGATTTTGTGTTCCGTTCTCCATATGTGGTAAATGGGAGACCAGAGAGTGTGTGTGTTTTATGGAGATTGGTGTTGGAGACAGATGTTGTGGAGATCTATAAGTGAAGGGGATGATTGATCAGGTGAGTTTACAACACACGATGAAAGATACAAATGACTCTTTTTCTCTCTAAAACTTCAGACATCATCACCAAGATTATGCAGTAGTAAAAATACAACACCAATATTGTATTATAACTAACATACACCACCGAGAATGTATTGATAATGAACCTACACCACCTAAACAATCAATACCCTATGATAATAAACCTACAACACCTTAAACCAATATCGACTGTATTCTAAAACACCAAAAATATTGTACCATTATGAGCACGTGGTACAATTTAATTCCCAAGCAACTTCCTATTATTTAGATGCGAGTACGAGCTTGTGTGTACAGTCTTCCCGCTGCTGGATAAAAATATGTTCTTTTGTCCTCCTCTCACCAAAGGAGGTCATATTGCCTTAGTTCTTATCGTTGTTCTTCTTCCTAGTTCTTCCTCCTCCTCCTCCTCCTCCTTGATCTTCCTCTTTCTTGTTTTTCCTTCTGCTTAAACTCCCTCACATCCAATTCTACCTTCTTAACTCACACTCCCCTTCCTTACCTCCCTCCCTACCTCCTTCACACTCTTCCTAATTCGCCTATACTCTCCCTGAACTCCCTCACCCAACCCCTCCCCTGTCGGGCCAATCCCTCCCTCCCCCTACCCCTCCCCTGTCGAGCCAATCCCCCCTCCCTCCCCTGTCGAGCCAATCCCCCTCCCTCCCCCTACTTCAGTTTTCACATGCAAATTGAAGAATCTTATTCCGGCGGCCAGAAGTAGACGCCATTCTTACCCTCGTACACACATCAGCAAGAGAACTCGCTACTCTTTCCCTTAATCGCCAAATTTTCTCTCCCGTAATCGCCAAATTATGCAGGCCTCCAAACTTTTAAGGCAGAGTTTTCTTTTATCTCACTAATTTCTCCTAACTACACGGGGTGGGGTGGGGTGGGGTGGGGTGGGGGAGTCTTAATGTTGACGTTTTTGGTCTAAGAATGTGTCCGTATGGTTGCCATGTTGTTATACCTTGAGAATCTATATGCCAACTTCGACGACATGTTCCCATACTCCCGAGAAAACTATGACAATTTCAGCAACTTACTCCTACTAAACTTTTGGGGGACGTCCGTATGAAAATGGATAAAAAAAAGATCAGAATTACCTCATTTCCTGGTTATATGTGACTTTCTGTTTTTTCACAAGGTAAGGTACGTCAATGATTACGTTTTTACAGATAAACGTATATACAGTACTTCCTCCCCAGCGAGACCCCCGATAATCCAGAGGAAGGAGGTGAGAGGTTAAAATTTTCATCTTATAAGCAGAATAGAAAATTAGTTTAAATTGTCAATGTTATGAAATTAAAAACAACATCTGCCCAAGGTCTAAAATCGTAATGTATAATTGTTAATGTTTTAAAATATAATATTGGAACAACAAAACAGAAGAATAACGTCTAAATTTGAAAATTAAATTTTCTTCAAAGTTACGAAAGCAGCGAAAACAAAGAAAATATAATAACGAGAATATGAGAACCGAGTCTAAAATCCTGGCGAAAATTTCACGAAGTTAGGAAATGAGAAAACAGGCGAACATTATAAAACACAAAGAGCGTCTAAAACCACCCAGTTTATTCTACAACGTTACACAACTACTGCAGAGAAAATAAAAACAAACTAGAAAACATCTGACAAACGGAACCGTAAAGGAACTGTCATAGAAACGAGTGAAAGAAAAAAAAGAAGAAAAATAAAAGATAAATTATTACAACGTTAAGTCGACAGCTTCAGGAAGTGCCGAGAATGAGATACTTCGAGTGCTATTTTTATGCCGGTTATTTTGTATATTTTTTCTCTCTCAATTGGGTGAAATGTGTTACTGGCTTGGTCATGCATGTGTTGAAATAAAGCATAAATTATTGAAGTTTACGAGTGAACCTATGGGAAATATCACGTTCGGGACTAAAAAAAAAAAAAAAAAAACTTGGTTACATTTGGAAATAATTCAAGAAAATTTAAGACCATCTTATATAATGGTTAAAATATACTGTACAGAAGGCGTCAAACTTGTTAAATAATGATGTTTCTTCTCTTGCTGCCTAACGCTCTGAGAGGATACGGAAAAATGGTTTACCTTAGAGTTGAGAGACTTGGTACGAGGGGAATTAAAGTAGGTATATATTCTACGTTCTAGTGACGGTTCTGTCTGTCTCTGTGTCCATCGTCGTAAGGTGTCCGTTTGTATTGAACAGACAGTAAATACCAACTGTACAAATTACTAGCTTATCATGATGGCATATTACTCACTGACAGAAGAAAGATGTCCGTTTATAATCATTTTCTCACAGTTCAACACACACACACAGTGAGTCACGGCCACTTATAACAATTGGGATACACACAGTTGCCACCTGCTGTCCAGTGTGGTGGCCCGGTGACAATTAACGCTTTGTTTGGGTTATATCTGTTTGTTTAGGCCATATACACTGATTTACAATCGACAAAATATTTTTCAATATGTAAAAATATATTTTTTATGAGGCATATGCAGTAAACATTTAATAACATAAAACGGTGTGTGTGTGTGTGTGCTTGTGCTTGTGCGATCAAAACGTATACAGTATAATGGTTGTGGAAATTCCTTTACCATAGTCGGAGTAATAATGAACAAGGTGTACAGTACCTTAATTATTCTACCCCAAACAATACTCATTACCTTAACATTGCGTGTTTAACATAACGTATTCTTTACCTAACACAGCGTTTCTTAATCGAACACAGTCTATTATTCTTAACCAACATAGCGTATTTTCAACGTAACAGTATTTTTAACTTAACATGGCGCTTCTTAAAATAATCACACTTTTTAAAAATTAAATCCTGGTCTTTTTTTTAAGGATACACTTAACTTGCATAAAGGCATCGTTAACACAAAAAACTCTCAGTGTTGTACTTACATATAACGATGGTGATGCCTTGTGGTTCTCTCTCGTGACCAGACGTAGTGGCCATACCTGTAAGGAGACAAATAGTGCTTTAGTAACACTGTTGATGATGTGATACGACTAGACGGTGGCAGCCCCTCAGTGTCGCTAATATATCCGTTACTTATTATGAAAGAGTTTTGTGTATTTTCAGTGGTTTTCATGTTATATTCTCATGTCTGTCTGTCTGTCTGTCTCTCGTTTATTGATTCATACATAACGATTATATTAGGGAAAATCCGTGGCTACCAGCGAGTGATTCACCTGTACTACATCTACTACAGTTAACAAGTTCATGTACAGTAGACCGTAGTCATTTAACACAACTACAGACACTTCTACTAAAAGTCTGTCACACATCACATACAGCAAGATGATAAAAGTAGGACATCATTAAATCCAAATTACCAGGTCAAATAGTCTGGGATATATGTCAACAGTTCAATATAGCCTTTATCATCCCCTAGCGAGCACAGACTGGGGCTGGGGGGTCCTGGATATACCAACATATTAACACCACGGAATAACTTCATCAAAGGAGCTGCAAGATGATTCATTAAGGAGATAAGAGTACAACTGTGTCTCAAAAGCAACAGTGAAGGATGATACTGATTGCTTACCTTGACTTCCCTTAATCCCACAAAGATAAAATTATAAATCCTTAAGATAAGAATACCCCTCAACACAATACACTAACAGAGGAAAGAGGAAAGTCATACACTGCTACGTCTCGATTACGATAACTTACACTTGAACTACACTACAACAAACTCCAGGCAACACAAGCTGAAGGGGATCTTACTGTAGGAGAAAACAGATCATCTTCTAACCACCTTGATGAAACTTCACTGAGGCAAGATCGAAGTATGACAAGACGGAACACAGTGATAAACCTCTCATCAGACACGGTTTAGCATTTGAAGACTTTAATGAAACAGATATTCGGCCGTAGACAATGAGCACCTATGCAATGGTTCAAACTATAGATGAGGTGATACAACTATACCTTACAGTGGCTGGATATTGAGTGTACAGAGTGGAGTACAGTGAACTCTCTTGACCAACACTCCTTGATACTTATCCAGGTCTTCAAACTTAATATCAACAGCGAGGGGAGACAATATAGACAGCTGTAAGGCTGAAATAAACACAATATAACACATACACAAACAACACTATCTCTCGCCTTCTGACACATACACACACACAAACAATACTATCTCTCGCCTTCAGACACATACACACACACAAGCAACACTATCTCTCGCCTTCAGACACATACACACACACAAACAACACTATCTCTCGCCTTCAGACATACACATACACAAACAGCAATATCTCTCGCCTTCTGACACATACACACACACAAACAACACTATCTCTCGCCTTCTGACACATACACACACACAAACAACACTATCTCTCGCCTTCTGACACATACACACATACACAAACAACACTATCTCTCGCCTTCTGACACATACACACACACAAACAATACTATCTCTCGCCTTCAGACACATACACACACACAAGCAACACTATCTCTCGCCTTCAGACACATACACACACACAAACAACACTATCTCTCGCCTTCTGAGACACACCAGTTGTAAACTTTTTGAGAAGTCATTAGTGTTATGTCTTGAAAACACACACACATGCAAATCTCATTCTTCCTACTCACAAACTCACACACACGGTTCTAAATGATAAGTCAAATAACTTGGTAACTTTTGATGCTTTATGCAGTCCTTCAAGTTGACTCCAATATAGTAAATGGTGATTATGTTCCCGACTTGATGATAAGCGAAGTCTCTCACCACAGTTAACACCAGACCTCCTCCTCCACCACAGCTGACACCAAACCTCCTCCTCCACCACAGCTAACACCAAACCTCCTCCTCCACCACAGTTAACACCAAACCTCCTCCTCACCACAGCTGACACCAGACCACCTCCTCACCACAGCTAACAACGACAACGCAGATCAAAACTTTTGCTGTGGTGGTGCTGAAGAAGCTTAGCGTGGCAGATGTATATCGCCCTCTCACCACCCACCACCACCACCCAACACTCACACATGATCCACCACCACCCAACACTCACACATGATCCACCATCCACACATTATCCACCACCCAACACTCACACATGATCCACCATCCACACATTATCCACCACCACACAACACCCACACATAAGCCACACCTTTACGGCAGTCTTACAGCACCACTACCTCAAGGGGGATGTTGTCCAGGTGTTGTGTAGAACTAGCAATAGGATCACCTGAAGATTTGCATACCACCTTATTTCATATGAAGATTAGCCACCCAAACGCTAATCTAATCTAATCTAACCAAACGCTAACCTAACCAAACTCTAACCTAACCAAACTCTAGCATAACCTAACATAAACAAACGTTAACCTAACCAAAAACTAACCTAACCTAACCAAACATAGCATAACTCCTCCAGGTAGCGTTAGGGTGTTTATCTGTTCAATCATCAGGTGTATTATAGTAGGGGCTTATCTTCATGTGATCCAATAGAAGGTTTTAAAAAATTACGACTATCTTACATATACAGGAGATATCGCTAAGAAAATAAGGCACAGGTCGTTTTTTCATACTTGTGTAAATGCCATGTTTACGGAAATATATCTCCTTTAATGTATGTTTCAATATATACTAAATGTTCTGATCATAAACAGAACACCAAGGTTTCAATACCATTAGTGTTCTGCTGGCAGCTCGAGCACCTGGAGGCTAATTTAACTAAAATAATTGAAGTACATTCATATCTGAATTTCATTACCCGAGACCCCTATAATTTGGCCAAATATTACGTTTGTAACCCAGTGTAAACAAATGAATCACCTGGGTATACATACAGTATATATCTCACCACTATGTATACAACTTGACTTGGTATATTACAGTGTATGCCTGAGAATATGTCTGTGTGTGTATGTGAATATGAATATGCATGTGTGAGTATATATATGTGTGTGAGTATATATGTGTATGTATGAGTATATATATATGTGTGTATGTTAATAATAATTTTGTGTATTCTAACTTCAATTTCCTTCTAATGATGCGCTAACTACCATTCCCACACGAACAACCCCTCACACAGCCTAACAGACGATCGCTGTCAGGGCACATCACCGTTGTTCCACACTGAAGTCCTCTGATAGCTCGCCACGGCGCCCCAGGCCACACACTCACCTCACACCATTTAATCAAAGTCAGCTCGAGGTCTCACTATTAGCCATGACTTCTACACTTTCCGGATGTCGTGGAATCTGTGATCTGGTATATTCTCTTGTCTGTCTGTCTGTCTGTCTGTCTGTCTGGCTGTCTGTCTGTCTGTCTGTCTGTCTGTCTGTCTGCCTGTCTGTCTGTCTGCCTGCCTGCCTGCCTGCCTGCCTGTCTGTCTGTCTGTCTGTCTGTCTGTCTGTCAGTTTCCCGAGTCTCCTCCACTGCTATTCTGTTTGTGTACGTCTTTCTCTCTTTGTCTGTCCACAAGTCTGCCTCTGTCTCTATCTATCTACAAGTGTGTCTGCCTGTCTGTCTGTCTCTGTCTCTCGCCACAGTTCAAGTAGTGTTATGGATACGTCAGGCAGCAATACACCACCACAGCTACTATTCCCAATGGCCCTTGACGTCTCCTACACCTTGACCATCATGGGGCGAGTGTAACCCATACTACCACTCATAACCCACACCCACTCGACCCACACCAACACTCACTTAACCCCTACCATCACTCACTAATCCACACCACCACCCAACCCACGCCACCACCAACCCAGTACCACCACCACTTAACCCTACCATCACCACTATCCACCGCCACCCAACCCACGCCACCACCAACCCACACCAACACTCACTTAACCCCTACCATCACTCACTAATCCACACCGCCACCCAACCCACGCCACCACTCAACCCACACCAACACTCACTTAACCCCTACCATCACTCACTAACTCACACCACCACCCAACCCACGCCACCACTCAACCCACACCAACACTCACTTAACCCCTACCATCACTCACTAATCCACACCACCACCCAACCCACGCTACCACTCAACCCACGCCACCACCCAACCCACGCCACCACTCAACCCACACCACCACCACTCACCTTGCCTACACCGTCTCTTAACTTGCCCTAACATATTTACCATGAATATAATGCAACCTGGGCAATATTTCCATTATATTTTTTGGAGGAAGTTAACGATATTTACACTGTGGTGACGCCCAAGTGTGTTCAGATCTGTGCTATTCTGTCATACGAAAAAAAAAATGTTCTGTTATTGTTGGTGTACAGAAACCCGTGTAAAAAAAAAAGGTCTCAACGCTGGTATACAAAAATCCGTGTAAAAAAAAATATTAAGAGTGGTTTACCGATGGGTTTAAATCTGTTTAGCAGAGTTGTTTGGTTTATGGATGGGGGTGTTTAAGCCTACGTTACATAAGGGAGAGAGAGGATTTATACCTGTTATTGTAAGGGATTTGTGAGGGGTTTTAAATCTTGTTTAGGAAATGGACCGTGAGGGGTTTAAATTTATTAATATTTGAGTTACAGAGATTAAACTTTTTTTGCCTGAGTTACGTGGGAGTTTAAACCTCTTTATATCATGAGTTCCTTTGTTTAATTCTTTATTGGCTGTGAGTAACATCAGAGTTTAGAGTTTATACCTCAGCTATAAACAGTGGTTTAAATCACTTTAACCTGAGTTACTGGAGTGTTAAAACCTCTTCACCGTGAGATACACATGGAATTAAAACCTCTTTAACCTGAGATACATGTGTTGGGGTGTGTGGGGTAGGTACTTCAGGGTTACGTAAATCTACCCAACACGCTATAACATAAGTTTTTCCTCTAACTTACGCTCCCTGGCACATTCTCAGAGGAAAAAACCCTAAACAACTCTTAATATACAGCAGCAGACCACATATTACGGGAGGGGTGAGTCATGGCAGCAACACACGGTTCTTCCCA